AATTTATCTTCTTTGTCCAATTTTAAAATGGCTAATTAAGAAAGTTGAAATGGAGAGATACCTAACTAATTCCACTTAATTATATTCATATTTAATTATTTACTTCATTACTCTTTTAGTGTATAGGCCAATTAGGCTATATGATTCTCAAATTAGTCAAATATGGTGGAATAATTTATAGGGATGAAAGTCAAAGTACAATAAACTTACATGTTCATAAAACTTTACAAATGGAGAAATTCTGATAATTTTTTTTAAAAAAAATAATATCACGTAAATTTAAATTAATTGGGTTGAGAGTAAAAACACAAGTAAAATAAGTAATTTATACAGACGAAATGAAATTTGTTTTGATAAGAACTAATGAGTACAGAATCGAGAGTTATAATATAAAAAAAATTAAAAGCGTTAAGCAAGTCCACATTAAACATAGATCTAACTCAACCCTAATCAAATTTTAAATTTTAATCTTTTTTTCCTATAATTTGTTTAGTTATAAGAATGAATATGTTTAACATGTAATTTTTTTTAAAGAATATTTAGTTAGAAGAAAATTTGGGAAAGTAAAACTTTACTACTATTTACAAGTGTGAACACTACGCATTAAATAATTATTTTAAGAAAATGTCCTTAACTATTACTTCAAAAACTTTTTATTGTGCCCATCATATCATAGAAATTTTTTTACGTAATGCATTTGAATTTCGAAAAAACTTTTATATACGTGTTATACACATATTTGCTATGTATGAAAGAATTTATTTTCCCAATGCTTACGAGTATCATGCAATTCACACGTACAATTTAGTTCATTTAAATTATGGGGAAAAAAAATTAAAAGTGCCTTGATTTTTTTGAAAATTTGATAGAGAAAATAAATCAATATATTAGGTAAACTAGAAAATAAACAAAAAAAATTAGTGCGTTTAATTACAACTCATTTTTATCTATTCAAATTCTTTTTAATCGCTCTTTGATCTGAGTTATTCGAATCGAAGATCTTTCAAAAACAATCTTTCTTCTTCCGTAGGACAATAATAAAGTCCTTACGTGTAATCAAATATACATTCCCCTCGACTTGGGATAATTTTATTAGAAAAAATTATTTGTCACTATTTTTACACATTTTAAGTCTTCAAACACATTGAATTTTAATAGACAAATACTTCCTTCTAGAGAAAAAAAAATGAAGCTTTCTTATGCATTAAATATATCTATATTATCTATGTTGTGGAAATTTCTATGGTCATAAAAAGTTTTAATTTTCTAACGTAAATAGACCGTAATAGTACATACGTTTGAAATTTTAATTATTTATTTTGCATTTGGAAGACTTGAATTAATCAATTTCTCCAAGAAATTAATTTTGAAAATTCATCATAATATTGGAAAAATTATGCATCACATTTTAATCAAGCCAATGATGCTTAACTAGTTCTTTTAGATGATCTGTCATACTAGATTGATCCTTTTCTTCTAACAATTTCATCGGAAAATTAAACGTGCTTCACACTTTTATAATAATTAATTATTTTTTTCAGTGTAATATATAGACATTTTTCAAGTTTTAATACCACACGTAATATGTATATATTGTTTGACTTGATTCGAACTATAATGATCAAATCACTGCATCAAGAATGTTTGGTACGAAGAAAAATATGAATGCAATGAGAGTCTGGGAGTGGGGTAGTGTTTGGTGGCGATACTAGAAAACAATAATAGTGATATACAATTAATAAAAACTTGTTTTTGGTTTCCTCCCACAAAAATATCGCTGTGAGTCGTTTTTCTCAAAATAAATTAGAAATCTATAAGAAATCGAACGGATATTCAAGCTATTGTTTCATTAAATGAGTTATTATAAAGTATATTTTAAATCTATATGTATTAAGTTTATGGGATGAGAGTGGAAATAATCACAAAAGCTACAATAATTTGCCTAAGTTGATATGGGCCTTTATGAAGTGAGTGAGCCCACATACTTGTTTGGGCTATAAATTTATATGCATAGGGGCAATTGCACTATTTAGAACCTCTATTTTTTTGGATTAACGACGGAAATTCCACCTTTTGAGTTTACTTATTACAAAAATATGTATTAACTACGGAAATTCCACCTTTTGAGTTTACTTATTACAATTATCCCCTATAAGTTTTTTACAAATTTTCAAAATCCTCATTTTCGCGCATCACATTAATGTATTTCACGCATTAAATTAATGTATCTTGCGCATCAGATTAGTGTAATCATGTATAAAATGTACTTCGCGCATCAAATTAGTGTATTTCGCGCATCAAATTAATGTATCTCGCGCATCATATTAGTGTGATCATGTATAAAATGTACCCCGCTCATCAGATTAGTGTATCTCATGCATCAAATTAGTGTATCTCGCGCATCAAATTAATGTATCCAGCGCATTAGATTAATGTATCATCGCTTGCATTATTGTATCCATTTTGAGAGATTTTTGTAATTATAAACTTTTAAGGGATAGATTGTAATTTTACCTTACAAGTATGACATTTCTGTAATTTTCCCTTTAAAAAAGCCAAATGTCTTAAAAGCTTAAACAGTTATACCAATTATATTATACAAAAATTATACAAATTCTGAACTATACGAACGCGCGAATTATACAAATTCGAAACCCCAACCCACACTGATATTAGTTTCGGTCACGAATAGTTATTAACGAAAACACAACTATAATTACTAATTAACTAGTATACATTTACTTAACTACATAACTTTTTTTTCCTTTTTTTTTAATTAGTAGTGTCTCAATCCAATTTCAATACATTGACAGCAGACCACAAAATTAAAATAAAGTCAATAAGAGGACCACAGAGATAATATACAATGTTTGATTTAAATGCCTTTCATATACATAGTGTACTTCCCTTGAACCAATTTAATTACGTGGTATTATTTGAATTCGAAAATCAAAATTATTTTTTACTTAAAAAATTTGAATTTTTTAATTTGGATTTCTTTTAGAGGAAATTAGGTGGGTATTGGGTTATGAGACGGATAGTTGGGTTATGAATTAAAAAAAAAGGATCAAACAAGTAGTTCAATAAGATTAAAATACGTGTAAAAAATTAGGAATTCGTTAGTAAGAGGGATATATATGTATCTATAATTGGACGACAGAGACTTATATGGACGCAAAGTATAACAGAGGGCATATGCGTACCATTTATTAAAATTCGAGGATAAATCCGTCCTTTTTCCCAAGATACTCCCTCCTTCCCATTTTATGTGACAACATTTGACCTGACACGGAATTTAAGAAATGATTAAAATTTTAAAATATTTACCAAATTGCCCTTCAAAAAAGCAACTCATTTTTTTCTCTCCTCATAAATGTATTAGAAAATTAAGTGAGACGAATAAGGGTAAAAGAGAAATTATACATTTAAATACTTACCATATAATGAAATGATACATTCTTTTTGGGACTGACCAAAAAGAAAGATATATTTAAGAGGTAATAGAGATGTATCCTAGAGGTAATTAATTTTTTTTAAATATTTTTTTTCCAAAAATTATAATATTTTAAATTACGTATTTACGTAATTCTTTCGTATGAATTTGTATAAACGTTTAAGGTATTGGCACAATTGAAGTGACTTAGACTATCATTGAATTTGTCATTAACATATGTTTTAAAAGTAGTACATTTATACTTGTAGCCATCACAATAGTTATTATTATTATTGGAACTACAAGGTCTTGTTGGTTAATTCTCATCCATAGAAATATTAGACACAAAAACAAACTAATTATTACCATATCTTTTTTATAAAACAAAAATCTTTTAAGTTTATCTATATTAGTATCAAAAAATAAAAAATGGAGCCCAAAGAAACACAAGGAATAGTTGATTGTGTTTTTGTGTTTTTTTGGTTAGCTGCAAATAGACTATAAATGCATTAATAATAATATTTTTTTCTTCTATTATTAATAACTTAATTATCTCATAAAAAAGGATAAGGTCTTACATTCTACCTTATTTAAATTTAATTTATAAAATTATAATGAAATATTATTTCATTATAATTGTTATTATTATTATTATTTATTACACTGAAAGCGGTTGCTCCCAAGCTTTTTAATACATGCAAATTAAAATGGATCTTTCCAAACATAGTTCCAATTTATTTTTATGATTGAAAATAAATTGTAACCGTAAATAAAATTTGAAGAAATATAATTCTATTAAAATAATGTGTATAAAATAACTTTATTCTTTCCTTAATTTTTTCAAATTTTTATAATTTAAGGGTCGTTAGTAACGTACTTCTCTAACTAGGATGATTTGAACTTGATCCCTATAATTCGAAGTCTGTTCATCGATTATTTCTCGAACGTAGAAGGTCACATTTTGATCTCTTTGTGAATATTCTATGAACGTATGAAATATTCGAGATGTCTCTTTAAGAAAATATAATACCCCTTATATAAGCATAAGTTAGGGGTTAGGGTATAGCAGCTTCCAAGAATCTTAATTGAAATCAAATACGTTTTATAAAATTCAACTAAAAAGTAAACACGTCTTATAGAATTTCACAAAATTTCAATGTCTACGAAAATATATAACAAAACAAGATAATGTATATATATACACCATCAGATCACATGGGTACCCTACATGCCATCTTTTTCTTTTATACAATATTCACACACTTGCACACTAAATTGTGAGAGAAAAATGCTGCCAGCATGGAAATTAATTAGACATATAAGACATAGATAACAACTATTAAAGTTAAATTTTCACCAAAATACGTGTTCAATTTATGTCACACACACATATATATATGTCTAATAATAAAATATCATGCCACTTAATACATAAAAACAAAACTAATAAAACCTTTATAGCAACCCACCCACGAAATGCCCACGCTTTCACTTTCTTTTAGCAAAAAACATATAAGTATATATATATATATACTTAATATATAAGTAAGTAAGAATCACACTGAACACATAACACATACAATTAGTCACACAAAATCATATCGATATATTGTCAATATATATACGTTACAATTCTATATATCGACATATCCACACATACATATGTATCCTCGATCATTCACCTAATAATATCTAGTCAATAATCAAAAACAGATTCAATATTTGAATTTTGATAAGTATTCGTGATCCTTATTCGTCAATATCAAACCTACAATCCATTTATTCAAGCTACAAAGTTCAACACATATACAAAATTTGAACCAAAGTTACAGAATTCTACAAAATCCATATGTCATATATTGTACGTCTACCATTAAACCGATTCAATACCAACTATCACTAATACACACGTGATAGAGTACGTACATTACCGATATCAGTATATATAAGTTTAAATTTTGTGTATATGGCTGACACTTCAAATACTACAAAGTCAAGAACAAATACGAAACATCATGTATATCGCGGTATACGATGTAGAAGTGGGAAATGGGTGTGTGAAATTAGAGAGCCACGTAAGACAAAAAGGATATGGTTAGGTACATACCCTACACCACAAATGGCTGCTGCTGCCTATGATGTTGCTGCCTTAGCTCTTAAGGCTACTCAAAATATTGTACTCAATTTCCCTCATCTTGTTGATTCATATCCAAAGCTCCCTCCCTCTCCATCTCCGGCTGATATACAACGTGCCGCGGCCACCGCCGCTGAGGCAATGGCCTCACTAGGCTACGATGACGATCGGTCGTTAGATAGGAGAGATGGAGCTATAGGTAACGAAAGGGGTTCAACTGAATATCCTTCGTCATCAGGAAATTATGATATGCAAATAGGTAAGTACAAAGATAAAAATATATACACCCTTTTATATATATATATATATCGCGATATTTTACCATGCATGAAATTTAACAAAGGTAGCTAAAATATTATTTTAGGTCACGATTCAACTATTCATGTGTTTTAGGTCACGATTCAACTATTCATGTGTTACATTCTTTCATCTATATTCAAAAATTTATATTAAAATTTCTGACTACGTCACTGCAGGAGATGCGCAAACGACGATGGGTGAGGATGAATATGTTGATGAGGAAGCATTGTTTGAATTTCCAAATTTGGTTGTGAATATGGCGGAAGCAATGATGCTAAGTCCCCCTAGAATAAACTCGTTTCCATCGGAAGATTATTCATCGGGGGATTTCGATACTGAAAGTCTTTGGAGCTACTAAAGACTATCGATGATCAGAGACGAATTTAGAATTCAAAGTTAAATGGATTCAAACTCAAAAAACGTAATTTTGTTCGTAGGCACAAAGTAGCTAGTAATGTATATGTATAAAAAAAAAAGTAATTCAAGAGGAAGTTTGTATTCAAATTAATGTGTTCAATTTAATTTCAAAGAAAATATCGCACGTACTACAATAAAGATAACTTTTACCAATAAAAAAAAGTATATTTATAAAGAGTGACAAAATTTAAATCTTCGACTGATATTATATAACCAGTTGCAATTGAGTCCAATATCATCATAGGATAACGGGACATTTACAAAAGAGTGTGAATTGACTAAAAACACATTTAGTGGCAATTTAATTATTGTCATTAATTATTTGCTGCTAAAGATTATTTAAATTTAGTGACAACTTCTATATATATATCAAGATTGTCTAAACCAATTGGATCTTGACATACGAATAAATACTAGAGGAGATTGATGTGATCATCATTGTATTTGTAATAATTAAACCTAAAAATCTATCGAAAATAATATTTTAATTTCTAAATAAAAATAAAATTATATACACATTCTATATATCCTTTTTGAATCTCCCTTGATTGATATCCTAGTAATAATTTACTATAAGTAAAAGTAGTAATAACTTAAAAATAATAAAATCATCTTCTAATATATAAAAATAATAATTATGGTGACAAGACACATTTTATTGAAGTACATAAAAAGGGCCATCAAGAACATAAAGAGGTTTTGCTTTTTTTATTTTTTAATTAATAAAAACGTGTTTAAACCTAAGTGGTGTAGTGGCTTTGTCGGTCTACTTGTTGAAGTTAAATGATAACAACCTCCTTTATCGATATTATACGAGTTGTGATAGAATGATTATACGAATTGTGATAGAATGAGTTTGATGATTTACTTAATTTTTAATTAGAGTCTTTGTGTTCAAATTTTGAAATATGAAGAAAATTATTGAAGGCATTGCGTGTCTTGTATGGAAAAAGTTTTCGTAAAATTAACTTGAACAAATGAGGAATTAAGATTTCTCGATCACTTACAAAATGAATAAGAAAAAAAATATGATATTGTTTTATCTTTTTAAAAAATAATATGAAGATATTATTTATATAAAATTTAATCTTTTTTATAAATAACCTAAAAATATAATTCTCCCTAAATGAACTCTAATGATATTTTAAAAGTGATCTAGGAGGTTATGTACAAGTGATTTCATAAGTAACATCCATACTTATTAATTAAGCTATCATGATATATAATTAGGATAATGTCTAAATTTAACATTTGATTCTCCACGAATTCCTAATGTTTGAAATTTTTTCGCGTATATTAATTCATAAATTATCTAAATTGTATAATCGACTCAGTTTGAACTCAAATTTTATAAGTCCATTTGACAACGACCTATTTAATAATAGACTAAATAATCAACTTCCTTTAAGAGAATTAATTCTATTCCATCGTGTATTGTTTCGTAATAATCATCAAAATTCAAATTTAGTACAGCTCCACAAAATCATTATTATCATTAAATAACTCGTAATAATATAATAAATATTTGTTCATTCTTAAATAAAATAACGTATAAATGTATTTGATAGAAATCTCACTTATACTCAAATGGTTACGATTATTCTCTACGTTACAAAAGAATATTAACATATTACAAGAGTAAAACTAGTTGATTACGATTTTAATATAACTTACTAATTAATTAATCCACTTAATTAATATACAAATAACTTCTTTTTTTCTTTTTTTTTTTAACTCAAAATTTTAATTTAGTCACGTGAGAACAAAAGGAAAAAAATGGACAATATGGAAAAGGACATTAGAAAAAGAAAGGAAGTCGGCCATATTATTATTTATTACTAAAAATTAAAGTCAAACTTTTATTTTTAGATAATTCAACAAATATAAAATTGCGGCTTGTCAATAGATGATATGATTTTAGATTTTTGAAAGTGAAATTTATTTAATAAAAAAAATGTACAGCTATAGAAAAAGACATATCATTTTCTTATTAATTTATTTCATTGATAAAATTAAAAAAAAAAACTTGGTTTGTTAAATGAGTCGACATAAGAACATACTATTTAGGGTATGTTTGGTAGGATGTGAAATGTTTTCCAAAAACTAGATTAACATTTTTTTTTCTTCATGTTTGATAGGTAAATAAATAATATTATTTTATTTATATATAATATATACAAATATTGTGAGAAATAGAAATGAAAGTAGTAGTGTGGGGTGATGAGGATGAGAGCTACGATAGCGGAAGTGAAGATAAAAGAGGAAATTGCTCGAATGGTAAAAAATCGTTACTTAAATTCAAAAGTTGTAACTTGTAAATTTGAGAGTCGCCAAAAGAATGTTTTAACGCGTACTATTTTTAAAGAAAATTATATTAACTCAAAAGCTCGATCAAATTTGAAATTTCGAATTAAAATTTAAAAGTAAGTTTATCATTAACTACTTGTGCCAATTTCTATGAGTTCTCAACTTAGAATGATCAAGAAGTTTTGATACAACAGTATAATGTTATTCTCATTGTGATCAGGGGTTAAAAATAACTGAGTCAAATAATGAAAATATTTTCTTGCGAAAATGTAACGTAAATTTAATTCACCGTATATTCATTTTGGATAAAATAACATCTTTACTATGGTTTATTTTATACAAAAATATAAATAATTTGACAATTTAATATTTTCCTATCTCAAGGTCTTCTTCATGCAGAAAATAATTAAATTACTAAGGATTAAACATCCTCGTACAAAATTTAAAACATCACTGAGGCATTTAACATGTGCATGAATAAAACACACGGCTGTTACTTAATCATCATTTGAGTAGATTGATATTTATTTATTTTTTCATTCGATGTCTGATATTTATATTTTAAAGTTCGATTAATTTTCTCCTATTGAGGGGTAAGATATTCTATGTTGGAGCTTGACTAAGTCCGAGTTCATGTTAAAAAGTTCCACATTGAGGGGTAAAATGCTCAATAACAAAAGCGACATTTTCATACTCAACGAGATTCAAACTCGAAACATCTGATTAAAAAAAAAAAACTACTTAGCGCTCCACTATTTTTGCTTTAACTTTTGTTTTGATTAATCTTCTTTTAAGTTGAGAATTTTTAAAAAATTCTATCTATCCTATAAAAATAAAAATAATGTTTATGCATATTTTATCCTTTTATACCACTATTATAAGATTATCGTGAGCTTATCATTGTTACATTTCTAAAAAAAGAATATGAATTTCTCATGAAGTCATCAAAAATATAAAATTTTGTCAGATTATTCGTAAAATTAATTATGGATGGGTCATTTTTTTTATATATATTCCATAAAAGAATTCTTTTATTAGTATATATAAATTATTTGCAAAATTATAAATTTGAACATCACAATCTATCAATACCAAACATGTTATTTTAGTCAGACATTTTTCTTCCATGGTCCACGAAATATAATATATAGTCGGTTCTCCATATACTTTTTAATGAAATTTGACAAGGACATTTTAATTAAATAAATATAATAATCTCTACCTCTAAGTGTTGCCAACTAATATTTAATTAAAAGAAAAATGCATAATATTTATCGTATTTTTTTATTTGAAAAAATAGATTTTACTAGTTAATGACTATTGCTCAAAATCTTAAGTGACAATATTTTAGAATTTGCGGCGACTTTTGTCGCCCGCTAAAGGTCTATTCTTTTTTCTAAAAGTAAATCCAAGCTGTCAATGCTTAGGTGGAGGATTAAGTTGCATCTGATTTAGCATGTCACTAAAAATTTGGTGGTTAATTCACTACAACAAAAATAACTTTTAACGACATTAAATATTGATACTAATAAAGAGTAATAAAGTCTTTTCCGACATTAATTAAGTGTTATTAACTACCTTTGCTACTAGAGAATTAAGAAGTCCCTTTTGTTAAAGAAATTCAACAGTTTTATACACACACACACACACATATATATATATACATACATACACATATATATATATATACATACATACACACACACATATATATATACATACATATATATATATATATATAC